CTTTAAAGTTGGGTTTATCCTTATTTAAATTTGAGTTTCTCTTTGTTTAAATTTAAGTCTCTCCATTAAGAGATCTATACCAAATCAAGTTTTTTACCTTTTTTTTTATTAAGTTTGAGTTTCCATTGGAGATGGTCTTAGCCATCCATGGACTTCCTGTTTAAAAATGAATAACTTATAAAGGTTTAATGGCTTAGTTTATCCCAAAAATGAAAAAGCATGTTTCTGCTAAGTATTTTGTGGATATGCAACTAAAGATTTTTTAGTTTTGTGGAATTAACTATGGGTTGATTTGTTTTTGATTATATACTATTTTGACTTATCCAAGCCCGACTTAATTTTTTCATATGCATAGTCTCCAGTGTTTTTTGAGGTTTACTAGTTGCATTGTTACTGGAATACATATAACAGCCATTGACATGATATTGAAAATATGATTGTGTGTTTTAACTGGCTGACAATATCTGCAGAAGGTATCTCAGTTCATGAGCCGTGCTGCACGCCTTAACGAAGTGTTCTCGGTAGTGAAGCGGGTTCCTGTCATACGACCATCGCTGCCAGCAGCGGGGTTGACACCATGGCCTGTGATGAGTTTGAGATGAAAGTAATGTTGTGATATACGTAGGAGGAATAAGTGTTGGGATGAGGTATGTTCGTGGTTTTTATGCATTTGCTTGTATAATATGTCCAGCTTTATTTGTTAATCAACCTTGAAGTTGCTAAGAAACTTGTGTATGATTGAAGCTCATGTATAAATTTGACTTAATTTCTGTGTGTCCAAGATATGCTCTTGAGGAATTTCGTTGTTTGCATCTCTACTGGGAAGAATATCACAATCTTTTATTATTGTAGAAAAATGTTATTTCGTCCCACAAGTATCTAAATATCTGCTGGATGAAATGTGTGGGTGGGGTGCGGGAACTGGCTTCAGCAAGTAAGCACATTTTGTTGAGATTTGACTACGAAAAAGTTCAGTCTCGTGAGTTACTTCCATTTTGTTGAGATTGAGGTACAGTATTGCTTACATCTGTGAAATAGAATTTTGGGTCTGTGTTTGATGGAATGGATGGAAAGAGTGAGAGTAATGCACTTTTATCAATCAATGGAGAAATTTCTTATTTTCTTCTTTGTGTTTGATGGGAGGGTTGACAATAGAATAAGACTGATGTTGGCTCTTGATGGTGTAGTAGACGTCCGATTAATTTATATACAAATTAGATTGTTCATGTTTCACCCATTTTACAACAAATTAATCATATTTATATAACAATTAAAGATTGTAGTAATCATGTTGGAAAAGGAGCAATGAGAAGGCGCAAGTTATGAATTAGGTTGGAAGTTTCCATAAAAAAAAAAAAACAGAAGCTCCACAAAGTGACGGTTTGAAATGGATAGATTGTGCATCGGTTGTTCAGTCCCCACCAAGTGACAGTTATACTACAAGGAAGAACGGGAATTTTGTGCTGGAAGTCTAAACAAAGGCCTGCAGCCCCTACATTTAGAAAAAAAAAAAAAATAATAATCCAAGAGATTCTTTATAATACATGGAGCTGACGGTTTTGCGGCATGTATCTATCATGGGTATCTAAAATCTATTTAGAGTGATGTACACTTTAATAAAAATCATTGGGGAGTTTAAAACTCCAAAGATTGTGTAAAAGATAGAAACTCTTCAAACTAATTTTTGAACTATTTTTTTTTTTTTTTTTTGCAGAAGTTTGAAACTTCAAAAATAGTGACCGAATAATATAGCTTAAGGAGTTAAAAACTCTTACTTCGATTTTCATATGCTTTTGAAAATTTGACACACCCAAACCTTTTGTGCCGTTGCGAACTTTGGTAAGGTTGAAAACTCCTCTACTTTGGTAGGGTTAAAGCTCCTTTAAAATTTGGCAGTCAAAAACTCCTTTAATTTTTTAACTTGGAGGCGATCCGAAAGAGTGAAAAACTTGTTCCTTGACGCTGGCAGGATTTTCTCCAACCCGTTTGCTTTTAGTAATTTGTTTCAAATTGATTGCTGCAATTGTCTTTGAATCCCTTTTTTATTATTCAGCTCACTTTTTTTATCACATGTAAAGGAGTCAAAGATTTCAGGTTTAGTTTAAAGAGTTTGAAACTTTTTTCGTGATCAATGACAGCCTATGCCCAAATGAGTCGAACACTCCTTGTTTTGTTTTTCATGTGTTGTTTGGAAGGGCTCCAATACTTGGGGGAGTCAAAGACTCTAGATTTTTTTTGGGAGTTAGAAAATCCCACTTTTTTTAGGAGTTTGAAATTAGAAAAGTTGCTTACATTTTTTTTGAAAGCAGAAATTTCCAAGGTTTATGCTGCCATTTTTACTTTTTTTTTTTTTTTTTATAGGAATCAAAGATTCCAGAATTGTTCTCAAGAGCTAGAAACCCTTTCATTTGGTTTTAGAAAAACCATGGCTTGGTTAAGAGTCTAAAACTCTTGAGAATGATAAAAAGGGTGTTTAGAAATCCAGTCAAAGAACCCATGGCCTCCGGCAAAGGCGTTGAAATTAGAAGAGTCCAACACTCGTGTTGATCCTTTTCATCCTTCTTGAACTTTTTTTTTTGCCACTGATTTTCTGGAACAGAAGATGTTAGTACCAAAATAGATTAGGAACGGAGAGGAGTTTGAAGGCTGATTTTTTTTTTGTCGTCATCATGAAATTTTGACTGGTCTAAGAAATGCCCAAGGCTTCTGTCGGGGCTGCGAAGAGTCTACGCCTTAAGTGAGCTTTGGGTCATAGTGAATTTTAGGATTTGGAGATTCCTTAAATCACACCGTGGTCTTTTGTTTGTGTGTGTGTGTGTGTGTGGGGGGGGGGGGGGGGGGGGGGGGGTGGTCGAAGACTCCATGAAGTGTCACCTTGATGAGAGTCGAAGACTCTTGCTGATTCTGAGGGGTGGTTGAAGCTGTTGCCGATTCCAGCGGAAGGGTTTAAAACTCTCGTGATTTTTTGCCGGAACTCTAGGAATGGGAAACTTCAATATTTATAACTAATGAGAAACTCGCCATTGCAAGTTTTGTTCCGAGTGCTATGGTTTCTTTGTTTCTGGTGTGCGTATACATTTTCACAACGGTGATGTTTTGCCCAGGAGAGTCAAAGTCTCCATGAAATGTGGCTTGATGAAAGAGTCAAAGACTCTGGCTGGTAATAAGAAGATGACTAGGCTTTTGCCGGTTCCCAAATAGGGGTGTAACACTCTTGCAATCTCTTTGCGCAGCACCGAACTCAAAGGAATTGAAAACTCCTACAATTGGTGACTTCAGAGGGGTTCGGAATCAACAAAATTGTTTGGGGTTGCTGTGATTTTGAACCAATCTGCTACAACCAAAAACTAGAGAGATTAAATCAACAAGAGAGGGAGAGAAAATAGGTTTATAGCTGCTCAATATGCTCAGAATATTTTCCCCGTAAACCCTCTTGTCTCTTATCTAAACTTTCTCTGATCTTCTGTCAACTGGAAACTCTCTTTTCCTCTGCCCCTTCTTTCACTCTTTCTTTGTTAACCGTCCAATCTCCTCTTTTTTCACAGCTTCTCTTTTCTCCACCATTTCTTTTTCCGTTTTTTCTATTTACGTGTATGGGTGCAAATTAGGGGCGGAAAACTCGGGCGGGTCGATGGATTAAACCTAACTCAATTCTAAGTGTATAATTCTCAACCTTAATCCTAATTTTAATCCAACCTCAACCCAACTACACAATCCAAGTATTGTCCAAGTTTGATTTGGGCGGACTTGAGTTGAATTCAAATTACGTAATTCGAACAAATTTTGAGTTAAAATTCGAATCACGTAATTCAAATTGATTTCGAGTTAGAATTCGAGTTAGATTCATTTAAGTCTGAAATCAGCCTGTTGTTCTAAACCTAGTATATACTATATAGTATTTCACTTAAAGTAACAAACAATAACTTCAATTAAATGTTTAACGTAAAGATCATAATATTTAAAGCATAAAAATCAATGTTTAACATAAAGACATAATAGCCAAATGTTTAATATAAGACTGAACCTTAGTCTTTTAACTTGTAAACTGTATTGCTATATTAATTTATATATTTATTTTTAAATATGTTCGGATTGAGTCAGATTTTTATATTCGAGTTGAACCGATTTATATATTCGAATCGAGCCCAATTCAATTCAGACACTGCCCGAATTCAATTCAGTTTAGTATTTTTCTGTCCAAACCCAATCCAATTATTAAAAATTTCAACCTAAATCCTATTTTTTATGAGTTGGGTTTAAGTTAAATTCGGTTAACCCACCCAAGTTGGACCCCTACTGCAGATGGCTTTTCGTCTGTGTGCCAGCAAGTACCACTTCCTCCACTAATGGCAGATTTTTAGTTAGTGGGTTTCCCCACATGTCCCATGCTCTTTGCTAAATAAACTATTCAAACTCAACATGAAATTGTATTCCATCTTAAGCCAAAATATAGGTGAATCCGAAAATTCACACAAGTCCAAATTTCTTTAAAGTCACGTTCCAAAAATGATGGGTCACTACTCACTCATTCCAAACCAAATAAAATTTCAAATTAAATTAAATGAGTCATTTACTCGGTTAAGACCAACTCAAATCCAAAATCTTTTCACTTTGAATTACTTCCGACTTGATTTCATTTTTAAATACGTAGGTAGTGTCTAACATTTACATTGGACACAATTGCAATTTCAAATCAACTCTAATTAAATTTCTAAAATCTAAGAACTACAGTTGACTTGAATCTATTTCGAATACGTAGGCAGCATGGTTAAACTAGACGTAGTTGCAACTCTCAATAAATCCCAAAATTTTTCTTGTAAACCAAATGGGTCTTACAACCATATCAAATCAAAAGGGTCATTTATCCATTTCAACTATGATGGATATTTTATCCATTCAAGATATTTTATCCGTTGATCTTACCCCCAAAATAAATTTAACCTTTTTGAACTACGAATCGACTTGATCCGAATAACAGATACGTAGAGCAACCTAGGCAACTAACCTAGGTCCAATTGCGACAACAACCTCAAACTGACTAATTTCACATCAAAGAGAAGATTGGCCCTCCCCACTGGAAAGATGGCCGGTGAATCACTGATCAAAGAGCAGATTTTGGAGAGATTCTTCATCGATCTAGTGGCCGGTGAATCACTGATTAAAGAGCGAGCAGCCGCCCGGTTTAATGATTTGGTGGGATCCACAGATGTAGTGGCTGGTGAACCGCTTCTTCTTCTTCCACGAAGATTTAGACAAAACCGAGCTTGGATGGAACTGAACAAGATTTGGCGAACGAACTTTCCATTATGTTGTATGGTAAACGGTAACGTGTGGTCATTTATCATTGGAATCAAAGGGTGTTCACTTGAACAACAGATTGTAATTAACGGATATATTTTATTTGGAATGGATTCGAACTACATTAATAAAACTCCTATAATTCTTCATTGAATGAGTGAAGTCGTGTTCGGTGAAAATCTAAATGTCAATGCCAAGATAATCGGAAGGAAAGTTACCAAGACTACTCCGAAGAAAGCTATTAAAGCCATTCCAACTATGGTTAAGGCTGCCCAGACGCTGATTCTAGAAATCACTCCAGTCTATCATCCTACAGAAATTTTGATTGGAACTATTCCAATTGATTTGCCTAGCACTATGTCAGTGATGGAAACCTTCCTGGAAAGCAAGGAGAGTACTCCTTTTTCTACTCCAAGGGTAAAAATTCTAAGGCTTCTTAGTTTGGGCTACCACAAAGGCAGGCTTCCCCAAAGTTTGTTGTTACTAGCCAATCAATTGTTACGTCTCCAGCCCAACTTAAACCAAGAGCAATTGAACTGGGTTCAACATTTGCATCTGCTAAATGAAAGAAGCCAAAGCTTCCCTATTTCAAAAGCCAGAGGTCAGATTCAAATGTTAGCATCAAGGCCCTTAATAAAAGAAGCCCTTCCAAGAAGAGGGGATCCAAGAAGCAATGAAAGGGCCCAAACACCCAAGCTATACCTGAAGCTTCCCTATTTCTGTTGACTGCCATTAGGGTTGAGCAATCTGAGAACGCACACTCAGACATAGAAACTCACAAATGGGCTTTGATTTCTGGATACATATATGCTAGGGAAGCTCAATTTCATCAGAGCTAGACTACTACTCAAGAGAAGGGATGAAAATTTACACAAGGCCTGTCACCCGATCAAGAGCTTGGATAATGTCTTAGTCTCCTTTTGAGGAGTCTACGACCGCAAATGAGTCCTTGACAACTGAACATGATTACTCATCATCAAAAGCTACTTTGGAGGAATCAATAGTATCAAATTGACATGAATGACCCATTAGCTCAATGTCGAGCTCAAATAATCCTCTTTATGGAGATCATAAAACTTTTTTACAAGAAAAAGATTGTTCAGATGAGTTAGGACATCAGTTTTGAGAAAAGCTAAAAATTGATCAAGAATTTGACTCAATGGATATGTCAATTCTTGTTACAGGAACATCAACCATTAAGGTGCAGTCAAGTGTGATGCAAAGAAAACTAGCAGAAAAAGATGTTGAGATAGCCAACCTTGCAGCCCAAGTGACCAACCTAGCCAAGCGTCAGCACAAGAACATGTTCAAACCAGTGAAGAATCTCCAACTTGTATAATGCTAGTTACTCAAGCAAATTTGAGAACATTAATTGTTGAAGGAATTCGAGAATTCCGGGCATCCATGACTCCACTTGTGCTTGGGTATCGTAAAATATACCCTAACCATTACAATACCATCCCATTTCCTAATGATTATCAAAAACTAAATTATGAAAAATTTGATGGGATCAATGGGTCACCCCATAAGCATCTTGCTCACTTCTATTTAGCATATGGAGAGCCAACCTTATTAGACACCTTGTAAATTAGACAATTTGTGCAATCCTTAAAAGGATCAGCATTCACTTGGTACACTCAACAGCAACCAAGGTCGATCATCACATAGGAAGTTATGCAAAGGGCATTCTTAGTCTAATTGGTCAGTTCAAAGAAGAAAATCTCAATAATTGACCTTACAGATGCTCGACAAAGAACAAATGAAAGCGTTAATGACTTTAGTCATTTAACGCTCTTGCCTCCAAGGCTAGCAATGTTGAAAGACATAGCTCGACAAAAGAATGCCCCTCAATAGCCTCGAATGACTGAAGAAAAGTAGTTTCATAGTGAAAATCTAGTAAAAAAAAAGAGGCCATGCCTACTTTTATCACAGTGAACAAAAAAAAAATGAAATGACAAAGGAAAAGAAATCTCTCAAAAAGGAAAGGAAATATCAAGAAATCTAAATTTAAAAGAAAGGAAGGAAGTGAAATACACTTTTGAAGATGATCATGTCGAAGAGATTTTTAATTCCTTTCTAAAGGCTAAGGCAATATAATTACCAAAGCCTAAGTGACCGTCCAAGGTTAACCAGGCTGATGATCCAAAATGTTGTCGGTACTATTAGATTGTTAGTCATTCTCAGAAGGATTGTTATGTCCCCAAGAATATCATTGAAGCAATGGTGAATATGGGAGACATTGAAATACAAGAGTCCTCTTCTACTACTACTTCCAACAATTTCTCTATGGTTGAGAATGAATTCATTCCCACCGTTATACTACCAAAGGGGACAATCTGAGTTGTTTTTGTTGTCGACGGTGAATTCACCTATCAATATGCTTACTCGGACATGCCCTGTTCTGTAACGCGCCAGTTTTCCAGTTTTGTTAATTTATTAATCGACTACAATATATTGAAAATATATCTCCAAATATAGGATCAAAGCTATAATTACCTCAATAAAAATTATAATTACAAATTTGATCAGAATAATAAAACTCATTGATGAGATCATAGTATTGCATATTTTATGTTTCATATCATTCATCTTAACTGTGTTACTTATCTATTTTATTCGTTTTTAGCTTAGTTTTGTATTTTATGTAGAATATCCATGTTTATAGGTAAATGAATATAAGAGCAAGGTTTTATACTCATTTTAATGCTATAGAAGACTTGGGAAAAGAGTTAGGAGATCTAGGGGTTGACCTAAGAGCATTGCAAGCATATTTAGGAAAAGGCCAATCGTATCGGTAGGTCTTCTACCAGTTCAACAGTGATTAGTAGCAGTATATTTCTACTGGTAGAAGTGAAACAGAAACTTTTCTACCAGTAGGTTATTACTTTGCTACCAGTAGGTTTTAAACCGACAACTATTTTACTAGTAGTTATGAAGAGCTACCAGTTTGTCTGAGACAGAAGCTTTGCTAATGGTAGGTCATTTTGTGCTTTCTACTAGTAGGTTAGTGTGTTTTTTGCTGCAAAGACTCCATTGGAAAGTATATCTACTGGGATTTAAAAGAGTCATGATTGGTGGATTAATGTGAGGGTTTCCAGCAGATACTCTCCTATAAATACCCAAGCCTAACTAGAGAGAAGACATCATCGATCAATTGCCCCTTAGACATTCTTTCATATTTTTGTTCTTTCTTCTTCTCCTAGATTTAGAATTATGGGTGCTCACTTTTCAAGAGTTCTCCCATTGTTTTCAATTCAAAGCTCTATTCTACTTTAATCAATTCAAGCAAGGCAAATACTTTCGGTTCTCTTTTGTGTAACAATTTACATTAATTGCAATTTAATTCAAGGTAATTTCTTTACTTCCAATTTCAATTTCAGTTTTATTTTACTTTGAAGTATGAATCTATTTCTTTTAATTTCTTTAGTTTTCAATTCTATGATGAGTGAGTAGTCATTTTTTGGTTTGATCGGATGAGAAAGTCTCATTTGTGAATGAGGATTTTGACATAATCAAGGTTTTTCCATAGATTAAGTATTTGGTTTTTTTAATAATTAAAGTTGAAAACACAATTGATATGTATATCTTCTTGCTAATCCATAGACAGTTAGGTCTGCCACAGATAATTTTTGAAATCACTACAATCGATGTAAACGTCATTCTTTCAAAATTAGGTCAATCAACTTAAATGTGACGCTCGGAAACCCGAAGGAGGTCCTTTCTCAACCCGTTAATCACCCATCAACCTGTAAAAATGCCCATGAGTATCATATAATCTGATACTATATCGTTGCATCCCATTTGGGCAGAGTCTCCTTTGTACGGGAGCACTACCCAACACATAACCTGTATACGTATTCACCACACAACCATTCCAAGGTCTATATCCCAAAATATAAGCTTATTATTATCCATTTACATCATCCAAGGAACAACGCTCAAGATGTGAAGGCCCCTTAGTGTGACATTTTAAATTTTCAAGTTTTGGGAAGAGGTACCGATGCCTTGTGTACTTAGTACCGATACTTGAGCCTTCTATGTGCTAGATACTAGTACCTATAAGCATTGGTACTAGTACCTAAGCCTACAATCTATTGGGGTACTGGAACCTATGAGGCTGGGTACTGTTACTTGAGTCCACTGGAATCCAGGTACTGGTAATTGTAAGCCTAGGTATCGATACCTGAGTCATCCAACTGCGTGGTACCGGTACTTGTGAACCTAGGTACCGGTACCTGAACCCAAATTTTTCCTAATCCTTCTAATTTTCAACTCATCGTCATCCAAACTCATACCATATTCATCCATTCATTCATTTACATCAAAACATTGTCCAAAAGAGTTCGTTACATGTCCCTTTTGCCAAATTACAAGTCCACAACAAATTACATAATCGATTATAAAAAATACAATTTAAGAGCCACAATCCAGCTTCATCATCAACACGGACTTAAGTGGGGCCCGTCCACCAGCGCTTGTCCAACAGTTGAAATATATTTCCATACAGGGTGAGTTACGCTCAATAGGGTATCTCCTAATGAGGCTACTCCCCAACTCAAATACATATAAAATGTCACATGTAAGCCATCACATAACTCATTCATTCAAGAACATATATTTCATAAATGAATGCTACACTTTTCATGCCATGTGATGAGATGGAACTCACACATGAAATGTAACCCCAAGCCCTCCACCGGCTCCCATAATACATACAATGCCATGCATATGCATTCTGACATTTCAAGCCCCTGTCATTGATATTAGACATCCAATGACCATTTTATAAAATCTTGTGTCTTTCTTGGAGTGGATATTTATGGACTTCCACCAACAGGTACCCAACCGAAATGACATCTATAGACTTTCACCAACGATTTCGCATACACCGACACACTTCATGGACTCAATACCAACGGGAGTACATATTTGAAATTATCGGGTCTTGCACTGAGGGATAATCTGACCCTTCTTGC